CGGTTCGAAATAATGGCCAGGTGGCGACGTGATGTCACGCTACAAAAAGTTGTCAATGGATTGGACTCGTGAAATATTATACTCTCTGCGGTTGTGTGTGAAATTTGTTTTGCGGAGCCGGACACGATTCTTGTGTTTAGAGACTATTTTGGAGTATTCGGAGAAGGAACCCGCCTTGCAATGCCAAAGACAATCTGCGCGGCGGAACCTCATCATTGAAGCCTGGTTCAGGGGCTACTGAGGGAGTCCTGGATTAAGGGGTCCTCGAGCGTCCGGTCTATTGACATGGGCCGGACTGATGGGCTGTGAAGATACAAGACCGAAGACTCTCACCTGTGTCCAGACGGGACTCTCCTTGGCGTGGAAGGCAAGCTTGGCGTCCGGATATGAAGATTCCTTTCTCCGTAACCGACTTTGTATAAACCTAGTCTCCTCCGGTGTCTATATAAACCGGAGGGATTAGTCCGTAGAGACAATCATAATCATACATGCTAGACTTCTAGAGTTTTAGCCATTACGATCTCGTGGTAGATCAACTCGTGTAATACTCATATTCATCAAGCTCAATCAAGCAGGAAGTGGGTATTACCTCCATAGAGAGGGCCCAAACCTGGGTAAACATCGTGTCCCCCGCCTCTTGTTACCATCAACCTTAGACGCACAGTTTGGGAACCCCTACCCGAGATCCGCCGGTTTTGACACCGACAGCTACCCCAACCCTCTGGCTCCCGAATGGTACCTCGACAGTGGTGCTTTCTCGCATGTGACAGGCACCCAAGGTAACCTCACCAAGTCATATTCTTCCTTAGCGCATTTACCTTCTAGTATTCTCGTCGGTAATGGGCACCATGTCCCTATCACTGCCACCGGATCCACCACTGTCCCCCCCCCCCATGATTTCCGTCTTACTGATGTTTCTCGTTTCTCCCATCATTGTTACTAGCCTTATTTCTATTTGTAAATTCACTAAGGATAACTCATGCTCAATTGAATTTTACCCTTGTGGCTTTCTTGTGTAGGATCTTCACACTCGGAGAATTCTCATGATCTCGATTAGCCACGGTGATCTCTATCCCTTCGTTGGCAATAAGGCGGCGGCTTGGGCATCCGCTCTCCTCACCACCACTGCCTTAGACTTGTGGCATCGGCGCCTTGGGCACCCAACGCTCAAACCCTCTCTTCTCTAAAGATTTTCTTAGCGATTGTAATATGGCTCCCCACTCACCATGTAGTGCATGCCAACTTGGTCGTCAACCACGTCTTCCCTTTCCTTCCTCTTTTAGCAAGACATATGCTCCTTTTGATTTAATACATATGCTCCGGGTTTCAGTATTATCTTGTTGTGTTGGACAATTTTACTCATTTTTCATGGACATTTCCCCTACGCAGCAAATCTGACACCTCCACCGTTCTCCAACGCTTTTTCACCTTTGTTCACACTCAATTAAATGTCATCATCAAGAGCATGCAATGTGAGAATGGTGGAGAGTTTATCAATTCTTCCCTACATACCTTCTTCTCCTCAAATGGCATTGCCTACCGCTTTTCTTGTCCTCACACCTCACCACAAAATGGCAAAGCAGAACGCATGATTCGTACTACCAATGACATTGTGTGCACACTCCTTCAAGCCAACCTCACTCCACCCTTTTGGGTTGAGGCACTCCACACGGCCACATACTTACTGAACCGGCGGCCCTCGCGTGTCATTGCCCCTCATACCCCTCACTTCCTTCTCCATGGTGTGCCCCCGACCTACGATCACCTTCGCGTATTCGGTTGCTTTGCTTTCCGAACTTGTATGCCACTACGGATCACAAACTCGCTCCATGCTCCACCCGTTGCATCTTCCTTGGCTATGCCCTTGAACACAAAGGTTATCGCTGCTATGATCTTGCCACACGCCGCGTCATTGTCTCCCACCACATTGTATTTCTTTGATCAAAACTACCATTCAAATTCTCTAAGTTTGAATGAAGTCCTTCACTAATCCAGAGACATTTCACACAAAATATTCAAGAAATTATGGAGCACTTCATGCAGACTTAGACACAAAATATTCTTCTGGCTATTATTACATGACAGGGCAAATACAAGAAACATTCTACAGAGAAAGAGCATGTTCCTAGAAGACTATAATTGTGTCCTATGTTCAGATAACACTGAGGAAACCCTAGTCCATCTTTTCTGGAACTGTCCATTTGCCCTCAAATGTTGGGACCATCTAGTCCGTGAGAAGCAAAGAGGTATCTCTGCCTATGATGAGATCACCCTAACCCTGACACATTTGCTTGGAGACATTGCATTGGACATCATTATCATAGGATCTTGGGGCATTTGATCAGTGAGGAATGATAAAATTTTCATAACAGCAGCACCACACGTGAACACCTGGAAGTGCTATCTGAAAGAGAGACTTTGGGCAGCACAAATTAGGGCAAAGCATAAGAGATCAGAACCTCGATAGAACAATACTTGTAATATAATCTTTTCGATGTTACCTAGAACTGGCATTGGTTGAACTTTTTATTGGGGTTCGGCTCCTCTGCAGTACAGTTATAACTGTAGGGGTACTGTAGAAATAGGTATCCGCCGTCCATTTCAATCTCATGGCTCTCATTTTTTGCATTCAATTATGTTTTTATTAAATGGAGATTCTTTTTGCTGCAACGGCGGCGCCAAGGCCGACAGCTCCCCGATGGAGAGCGGCGAGGTCACCGAGGCGAAGGAAGCAGGCGGCGCAGCAAGGTCGATGGCGGTTCGGGTGCACAACCTGGGGAGGGCATCGTGCGGCAGGAGGCCGCCAGGGCAGGAAACGGGCAGCCTGGCCTGAGAAAGACGAAGGCGTCGGGTGGTGTCCGTCGAGGTTAAGGTCGTCGGGTGGCGCAGCCTGGGGAAGGCGGGTGCGGCAGCCAGCAGAGCTCCTCAGTTGCTTCCGTCGACGACGTCAGCAGGTCAGGCCAGCAGACGGCATCCTACCGTGAATCCTGGGAAAGGCGTGCATGGAGGTCCAGCCGCCGCACCGTTGACCCGGGAGATAGCGGGCTTGGCCGGAGAGCCTAATCCTTGGTGGCGGAGAGTTCATCTGCTCGCTCCTCCCTTCCTCTATCTCTCCGCTCTCCGGCCAAGAGTTCAGTGTGTGTGCGGCGAGCAGCGAGCTGGTTCGTTCTCTTTTTTTTCTTCACGGTAACAAGCTGTTTCTTATGGGCGTTGGATTGGCCAGGGACGGCTGATGTTGTTGCTACAGTACATGTGCAGTAACACTAGAACTGCAGAGGAGCCGAACCCTTTTTATTGTATTTACTTGTATGTATTTTATAAAAGGGTGTAGTTAGGTCTTAATCGACTAAGACTTAACCAAATCTTGGTCAAATGAGATAGTAGTATATAAGAAAAAAATGAAAATGAAAAAGAAATTTTTGTACGAATCTCCATGTAAAAATCAGGGAGGAGGCAGGTTTAATGAGGAAGGAGCCTATAATCCCCGTGTAAAGGTCCCTGTGTGTAGCATTTTTGCTGCGAAAAACTACTGGTCCGTGCGTGTTGCGGGCGTGGAAACCCCAGCTACAGATACGGGGTGCAGGTTTGAGACGTTGCTCCGCATCCAATCCATGCTCGTAGCGTGTCCACGCCCGGCAGATCCAGCCATCGCTCTCCACGCACACTGCAAGATGGCCTGTACGGCTACGTAACATAACGTACGATTACCCCGTTTGACGTGTGAACAGTGTGGGTACGTGTGTGCGAACTGTAGGTTTCGGTGCCATCTCACGAGCAGTCAGCGACAGAAGGGATACGCAGAATCGACGTCCAGTGACAGATGCTCGTGGATGGTGTGGCGCGTTGCCGGATAGCCTGTCCTGTCCTCTCCTCTCCTCCCCGGTAGCAGTACTCATCATGGAAGTGCCTGTCGATTCGACTCGTCCAGCCCCACCCCACCCCACCCCACCCGCGACAGGCCGGGGCCGGCCGGCCACCGTCTCCCAACAATTATTGCGTGGCGCCAACGGAGCACAGCAGAGCAACAGGGCGCCAGGGTCTTGCCCTGCAAACGCAAAGCCTCGAACCATCGCACAGCAGCTCAATCAGCGAAATCTTCAAGGTGACGGCGAGGGCTCAGGCCCATGCGGGGATGCTGGAAATGGTCGCGGACCCAGGAATTCTTGGGTGGGTCAGGTCACGCTGATTCCTAGCATCACCAACACGACCGGCAACTGGCCGAGAACTAGAACTAGTACGGCAGCGGAGTTTCTGTTTCTTGACCACGAGTGCTCCATTCTCCGTTTCTCTTTCGTTCTGCGACCTGCACAAGACCGGATTTGGTTTGTCCGCGCTCCACAGGGTCGCCAAAAGGGACCAAGGATCACAAATCCGATCTTTTTTGAAGAAAATGCGTCAGGTACGTACTTGCCAGCCAGCCAGTCATCATATTCACACCGGGGTGACACCAGTTCCTTCCTCGTCGGCATGATGGCAAAACCGAAAGGAAAAAACACGTGTCTAACAAAAGGCATAAACGGCTAGCAAACCCGACACAGCGCATTGCCTTCTGTCAACAAAAGCTACAGTACAAAGCCAAGTGCCGGCCAGGGAATTTACAGATCACCCGACAATGATATTATCCCAGATGCCTGGGGCCTGCCGTGCTCTGCTCAGGAGCGTCGCTTTGCCCGTTTTAACCCAGCAAAATTGCACATTTGAAACAGAAGGCATGCTCTGTTCGAGGCGCGCCCCCCCAATTTTCATAAATAATCGAGCGACACCCGAAAATACGAGGCTTTTGTCATTCAAGATATACAGTTTTGGTGGGGTAAAAGGGGCAGCACCTCGAATTCCAAGCACAGTGACGGAAGGCTTGCCAGGCAGTGAGGCACAGCAACAAATCAGAAGCTTGTTCCATTTCTACAATTTTCCCTGAAACAACTGATCACTACCCTAAACGTAGAGCAACAAACAACAAGGGGGGGAGAAGAATACTAGGATGGTGGGACGGCTCGTCGTCAACTGATCGCCTTCTCCTCGGAGAACCTGGGAAGCTGAACGAGCGAGTTCACCCGTGTCACCCCATCGAGGCCTGACCAGTTGTGATCATCGGCTCCACCAGAAACCTTGGCGTCTGCGCCCGCCAAGGCTTTCTCCTGAGCACTCCCCGGAACTGTCCTAACTGTGAAATTGCGAGTTAAGGCGGGCTCCTGTTGCTCCTGCGCTTCGTTAGGGTCAGCGACTGAATCATCCTCAATGCTGATGTTATCCATGGACGCGGTCGAATCACGCTCATGGTCCATTTTGCCATCCAAATATAAGCAAACGACCGCGCAGTCGTCGGTCCTGGATGTTGGATACTTGGTTTTCCATTCACGGTTAGCTGCCTCGACAAGAGTCCTTGCCGCCTTTGACCGACTTGGGGACGAGGACACTATGTCGACAGCCTCTTGGTTGCTTAGGACATCCCAGACCTGCATGATTTCCATCGGTGCAATCTAGTCAAACATATATATAAAGCCAATCAAGTATCTGTTCAGCTTGTATATCTTCCTGAAGTACAACTATAAAGAAACAAAGGAGATACGCCGCACAAGAGAAGATGACAGGACACAAATGGAAAACTCTATAAGGCATTGATAATTAAGTAGACCAAATATCAAAAGGGGACCCCAAAAAAGGATTGTTTGTAGTTAGCAACTGCTGTATAACAATTGGGAAGACAATGACTGATGATCGACATGATTTTCTGTTTGTTAAAATATCATTTTTAGTGAACATTCCATCGGTAGAATTGACAACTCTTCCACGCAAACTACAATCATTAAGCGGCGCTTACATAGGTAAACAGAAGACATTCCATCGGTAGAATTGACAACTCTTCCACGCAAACTACAATCATTAAGCGGCGCTTACATAGGTAAACAGAAGACAACATCTTGCTTTTGGTACCATACATTGTTTATATTTGACACTAACATCCCTTGTTAGTGCATAAAATGAGAGGGGGAGGGGGGCTCAGCAAAAGGTGTCTTCAAGATTAAGAGGAGGAAACTTTTAACATGGTGAGATTGCTATCATGTTTTTTTCTCTTCGAAAAGGAGGATAATATCCTGCCTCTGCATTGATTGATGCACAGAGTCATAAGTTTGCTATCATGTAGTTCATCAAACGTCAATATGCACAGTGTCTCCTAGATAGCACACACATTAGCGCTATAGCTGGCATAGAAAAATAAACATAATGTCGTATGCACTGAACACAGCAAGGAAAAAAGAGAGGAAAAATCAGCACCAGATTAAATACTATCCCATAGAACCCCACGCGATATGCAATGAAGTAGCACGCCTACTACTACTCCCTCAACCAGTGGCCATCCATGGTGCACACTTAAACTTTGATGGGTCACGACACATTATAAGATGGCCTCTGTGAGTTACTAGATGCCTTTTTTTCAAAAGGAGGTTGAAACCTCCGGCCTCTACAATTGTGATGTGCACAGCCGTTCTTATTAATTATTAAGCAGAGTACATAACGAGCAACCACATATGAACCATCACAAGATATGAAAAAAACACCTATGACTAACTCGATTTCTTCCGCAGCAACGCCTTCAAAGTTACTAGATGCGTACACCGTTAAATGTAATGTTAATTATAGAAATGTGCTGACATCTGGACCTTAATCTGGTTGAATCAAAAGAGAGCAAGCAAAGCCAGCCCCTAACACCACAAAAAAGAAGCACACAGAGTCTCCCGATAATTTATAAGTATTGTCAAACTATCCATTTTTAAGTGATTGACAAATCGTCAAGTTAATGAACTAAAAAAATGGCAAAAAATTACAACTAAAAAATCAAACAGGGAGTCATGGACCATAAGAATTTTATTAGTACAGTAGTATTAGTATGAACTGGTCCGCTGGAAATCGACATTATTCAGATGCATCGAATCTTGAGAAGGAAAGAAGCTATGGATCAAAAGAATATCAATTCTATGTCATGCAATGAGCAGTCACTACGCTAAACCCAGTTTTCTAACTGCTCATGATGTCGCCACAGCGATTAAACCAATTAGTCATGCCAAGTTGAACTTGGATTAAGATATAAGAGTTGAAGTACAGCAGATGACAACAGGTGGGTGACGATGCAGCAAAGAAGTGTGTTAAGCTGGCTAATCATTATTTATGCAGCAAGTCACAAAGGCACAGATGGTGGAAATTAATATCATCGCCCCTGTCACCATGACAGTTTAGCAACCAATACGGAAAGCTAGAGCATTTTGAAGTCAAAAGGACTGGATCGTTCGTATATTACTATATCGTTCTTAAGGTTCTTGGAGCTTCTACCAGACGCCCTGAATGTTCAAGGCCCGCCATGTGAGACCAATCAGCGCATCACGAACGCGAAAGTGTGACAGATTGACATTACACTGCAACTAATTTAAGTAGCTCCGACAACGAGAAAGTGGCAAGATTTTGCTGGGACAGACTCAGATATCTATGCCGTCGCACGGGCACATAGGAATGACCAACAACCATGTATTATAGGACAGAGAAATGGGAGAAAGGAGTGAAAGAAGTGTGTAATTACCCCGTCGGATGCGAGGATGACGAACTGGTCCTTGTCCGTGAGAGGCCAGTGGAAGAACTCCGGCACCGAGATGACGCCGTAGTCCTTGAGGCAGAAGTCCCCGAACGCCCGCGCCATGGCCAGGCCCGGCGCGTCGTCAAATGGAAGCCACACCCTCGGCACCTCCGGCTCGTCCTGCAGCGCGAACACCCTGCCCCTGCACTTCTTGATCCGCTCCGCCTCGCCTGGCATCGCAGACCGGTGGTGTTAACACACAAAGTCCCAGGACCAAATGACGCAGGCAGAGCATAGCTAAATTAATTGTGTGCAGTGGCGTACTGGGGACGTCGGGCTTGAGGTCAACGGTGAGCTGCACGGCCGCCACGCCGCCGGCGGCGGCGTCTCTGGAGCCTAGGACGGCGCGCGAGTCCCCGATGTTGGCCATGTAAAGGTCCGTGCCCTGCGTGCAAAGACCGCCAGTGAGTAGACGCGCACGGACAAAGAGGGGGTCAGAACTAACACAAGTGATTTGACATTTCTGCTTGGACGGGACGCAGGAGAGATGTATCATGGTACTATGTGAATGTCCGGCGCCAGTGCCACGTACGAGCTTGAGGACGGTGACGGCGGTGCTGCCGCTGCAGAAGCTGTCGAGGGCGGGGTGGGAGCGGAGGTCCTTGTCCATGGCCTTGTAGGCGCGCGTGAAGGCCTTCCTCCAGGCGGCGGCCGGCATGTCCAGCCCGCTCTTGGGCGAGGCGCGCGCGGCGGACATGAGCCTGAGCGGCAGCGAGTCGCGCACCCTGCGCGCCACCAGGTGGCCGTGCGGCCCGTGGCCGTCGAACACCCCGCACAGCACGCCGTCCTCCTCCCCGCCGAACCCCTGCCACAAACAAACACCATTGACCGCACGGGATCAACCTAGTCGCCTCGAAATGGGAGGTGGAGAGGAGGGGGAGTGATTCTCGGGTGGTTTGTTAGCTTACATCCCAGATGAGCATGGCGTCCTGGTTGATCCCCTTGCGGCCCTGCTGCGTGAAGACGGAGGCGGTGCGGCTGCGGCCGTCGTTGGAGAAGATCCGCCCGGGGACCGTCCCCAGCTGGTCCTCCCGCGGCGCCTTCCACCTCCTCCGCCGCCTCTTCACGTCCTCGCCGCCCGCGCCGGCCGCCGTGACCGCCGTGTCCCCCCTCGCCGCGCAGTTCCCCATCGCGCACCAGCAATGCCAGCCAGCAAGAAACACGCCGCAAGAGATTGCCGGCGCCCGGTGCAAGAGGGAAGGAGGAAGGATTCTTTCTTGTTGCTTGTCTCAGGAGCCGGGAGTCGCAGATGCGGCACTCAACATGGGCACGAAAAGTCAAGGCGGCCCCATCATCCCATGGACGAGGCGAGAGGAGAGGGTCGGGACGGAGGGCTGCTTATTTATTGCGCTGCGGCAGTGACACACGCGCAGTCACGCACACGCACGCCGAGAGGCAGACAGACAGCCACCTCCGTCCAGTCCTCCGGGCGGCAGGTGCACGGAGGAAGAGGCCCCTGGTTGATGGCGTGCGACGGCGTGGGCGTGGGCGTGGGCGTGGCGCGGCTACCGACACGCCCACGACGACCTCACTGCTTAGCTGCTCTGTTGTTTTACTCCTACGTAACGTATACACCTTTCCTGATTAACTAAGCCGCGGCAGGTAGTAATGTACTGCGAGGAGCTGAGCTTTGTTTACTGACGGGTCGCGAGCTGCGAGGAATAAACAAACGGCGATGGTCAGAGCGGGCATCGAACGGATCACGGATGTGGTGGTAGTATATCAATAAACTACTACTACTCCCTCCGTAATCACAGAGATTTGTTCAAGCGTTCGCTTCTGGCAGGTAATTACGACTTGTTGTCACCCGTGACCTTTCTCAACAGCGACGTGATCCAAATCCAAAAGGATTATTATTAACTACGTACTGTATGTCTGTATAGAGGGTGTGTGGATACTCTTTAGTAGTAGTAGTCACAATAGAAGTTTTTAGTCAGGCCGAAAGGTGACTACTACTAGTCAGTATTAAATGTCTCAGTATTAAATGTCTCTTGTGCAACATCAATTAGAGGAGAGAGAGGGGAACTTTAGTCAGTAAAAGTCAAGGGTGTTTGGAGGTTTACTGACTAAAGGTGACTACTACTAGTCTCTAGTCAGGGCATGCTTGAATCCAAGGGACTATTTTTAGTCTGACTAAAACTAGTCTTTTTTAGAGGCTAAAGTTCCAATCACCCCTGACTAAAAAGAGGCTAGAACTAGTCTTGAGACTAAAAAACTTTAGTCAGGGGAACCCTACTAAAATGTGGATTAGTCCTCTCTCTCCTCATTTAACTCCTCTCCTTTAACACATGCGAGTTCGGGATTGGAGGGTTTGGAGGATAATAAATGCTCATTAACTCATTTTAGTCTATTTATTATTTGTATCCAAGCATGGATGAGGCTAGCAAGTTTTAGTCCCACTACTTTTAGTCATGGGACTAAAACGTATCCAAGCACCCTCTTAGTAAAAGTTGAGGGTGGGGTGACTAGGGACTAAACTAGTTTTAGTCACCTACTAGTCAGGGGTGTTTGGAGGTTTACTGACTAAAGGTGACCACTACTAGTCTCTAGTCTCTAGTGATCCAAACACCCTCATAATACAGAGACTACACGGGTGCTCTACTCCATCCAATTGGAGAAGCAGCGGGAGTCCGCTACAAGATTCTTTAATGAATGAAAAGAAGCGTGTGGAAAGCGGCGAGCCGGCCGGCGTGGGCAAATTTGACAAATTTGACCTATAGACGAAATTAAATCACAGAATGAACTGTCCGTAAAACTATTTCACACAGCTGACCCGTGGTGCCTAGCTCTCAGGCGCTGCACTAGTGCAACGCCTAGGAGCTAGGCTCTACACTGTATAGTATGGCGCCTAGCTCTCAGGCGCTGCACACGACTTAGTAATTTTTTGATCACACGTGTGCGACGCTGGCCGTGTAGCGCCTATCTGTGAGGCGTTGCACAGTGTAGTGTGGCGCCTTTGTGGCGAGTGTCACACAAAAAGATCAGCCGCGTGAAATAGTTTCACGGATAGTTCATTCTATGATTTGATTTCGTCTATAGGTCAAATTTGTTAAATTTGCCGCCGGCGTGCGCGCACGGGCGCCGCGGGGTTCATTTTCTGCTGCGCAGCGGCTGCCTGCTGCGAGCCAGTATCTTTCCGGGGGGGCCTAGGCCTAGCGGCTGGCCGGCTACCATCCCATGATCGATCCCGTCCACTTGAGCGACCCGACCCGACTCCTCGTCATCACTTGTTTAATGCCCAACCACTGCCGCGCCTGCACGCATGGGTCGATCATTAGGGCGGGCGAGAGGCGCACACGGGCTGTTTTGGGATGATTAGGGTTAGTGCTAGTATCTGGATATAGATTGATACTTACTAGATAGACACGCCCGGCGGAGGAAGATTCCGACGCAAACGGGGTGTAGTGTATGGAGCGGCTCGGATACGATTCTCATCTGTGTGATGGGGGGCTCCCACATCCAACCGCATTCCACTCGAACTTCGAACTGATCACGACGCTTCTTTGCGCCAATAGATTTTGCGTTGGGTCCCTGACGAGGATAGGACGGACGTCCATTTTATTCGAATTGTGTCCGTTTGGGTTGCCAAAACGGACGTGAGGCCAACTCCAACACAGGACTGTAAATCGTCCAGATGTGTCTTTGGCCCAAATGGGCAGACGAGACGGCCAACGCACGACCCCATCCGCAAAATATGTCTGCTTCTGATCCGGCTTAACCCATTCCAGGCGCAAAATTGATCGGGCTTTGCGGTCAAACGGGCACAGAATGGATGTGCACGCATCCTCTTGTCGTCCGTCTCAGGCCCGCGTGTCGGTCGTCCAACTACCTCCCACCGACCCCATTGAATCCACACGAATGGGCGGGCCGCCGGTCAGCCACCCGGGCTGCCTCCTTTTTTACGCCGAAGCTGGGGACTGGCCAGTCCACTTCCACTTCCCCACCACATCCACGCCATTACTCCCTCCCTCCCAAACAACAAACCCAAGCCTAGCACCACTCCCTCCCCCCACTTCGCTCCCACGTCGGCCATGGGCTTCTGGAAGAGGGTGACCAGCAAGGAGACCAAGCACGACCACGAGGCGGCGGCGTCGTCCGCCTCGTCTGGAAGCGCGGCCACCCACTCCACCTCGCCGGCAGCGTTCTCGATCCCACCTTTGGCGGTCGTGTCACGCTTCCGACTGTACGTCAAGGTCGACATCTGCCATGGTGAAAGGGGCGATCATATTTAAAAAAATCACAATCGATGAACTTTTCCCAAAAGTAGGTGAACTTTTTTCAAAATTGATGACTTTTTTAAAAAATTTGTGAAATTTTACCATATTCGACGACCTTTTCCTAAAAAATTATGAACTTTTTTTAAATTTTAACAACATTCTTCAAAATCAATGTACTATTTAAAAAAATGGTGAACTTTTTAGCGATGAACTTTTTTTAAATACGAAGATTTTTTAGAATTCAATAAAAAAATTCAAATTTAATGAGCTTTTTTTCAAATTCATTGATTATTTTAAAATAGGTGAACTTCTTTTAAAGTCAATCAACTTTTTTTCAAATTTATGAACTTCTTTTCAAATTTGATGATTTTTTTTTCTAATTTGATGAACTTTTTTCAATTTCATAATTTTTTTGAATTTGTGAACTTATTTTGAATACATGAACTTTTTCTAATTCATGATGTTTTTTTATTTGTGGACATTCAAATTTGTTCACATTTATTTTTGAAAAGAAATCACGTTTTTTCTAAATAGCTAGGCTGAAGTTTTGTTCTTAAACTATACATGCTGCAATATTTCACTGAGGCCTAGTAGCTCTAGTGGTTAACCAAGCACACAAGGAGCTAAATGTGTGGGTTATATTGCTCTCGATAGCCATTATTTGGGGTTTCTTTTTCGCCCTGTAAATACTTTTTGCACTTCCCGGCGTGTTCATGGCGAGCCCACTAGCGTGCTGCAATGAGCGCGAGTTGGCTCAACCGGTGCATAAGGTGCCCAATAGAAGGTCCGGTAGATAAGTTCGCATTTGCTTTTTTCTCTTTTTTGTGTATCTTTAATTGAGGGAATCACTGTGTGGGCTAATAACCGTTGGAAATATGCCCTAGAGGCAATAATAAAACGATTATTATTATATTTTCTTGTTCATAATAATTGTCTATTATTCATACTATAATTGTGTTACCCGAAAATCGTAATACATGTGTGGATACATAGACCACAACATGTCCCTAGTGAGCCTCTAGTTGATTAGCTCGTTGATCAACAGATAGTCATGTTTCCTGACTATGGACATTGGATGTCATTGATAACAGGATCACATCATTAGGAGAATGATGTGATGGACAAGACCCAATCCTAAGCATAGCATAAGATCGTGTTGTTTGTTTGCTAGAGCTTTTCTACTGTCAAGTATCATTTCCTTAGACCATGAGATCGTGTAACTCCCGGATACCGTAGGAGTGCTTTGGGTGTACCAAACGTCACAACGTAACTGGGTGACTATAAAGGTATACTACAGGTATCCCCGAAAGTGTCTGTTGGGTTGACACGGATCGAGACTGGGATTTGCCACTCCGTATGACGGAGAGGTATCTCTAGGCCCACTCGGTAATGCATCATCATAATGAGCTCAATGTGACCAAGTGGTTGGTCACGGGATCATGCATTACGGTACAAGTAAAGTGACTTGCCGGTAACGAGATTGAACGAGGTATTGGGATACCGACGATCGAATCTCGGGCAAGTAACGTACCGATTGACAAAGGGAATTGTATACGGGATTACTTGAATCCTCGACATCGTGGTTCATTCGATGAGATCATCGTGGAACATGTGGGAGCCAACATGGGTATCCAGATCCCGCTGTTGGTTATTGGCCGGAGAGCTGTCTCGGTCATGTTTGCGTGATTCCCGAACCCGTAGGGTCTACACACTTAAGGTTCAGTGACGCTAGGGTTGTAGAGATATTAGTATGCAGTAACCCGAAAGTTGTTCGGAGTCCCGGATGAGATCCCGAACATCACGAGGAGTTCCGGAATGGTCCGGAGGTGAAGATTTGTATATAGGAAGTCCAGTTTCGGCCACCGGGAAAGTTTCGGGGGTCACCGGTATTGTACCGGGACCACCCGAAGGGT